GTCATGAAGGTCTTGGTACCCTTTTACTGAAACAATACTAGCTGCTTAGCAACAGAAATAGGTGAGGTAAAGTTACCTACACAGATGACTTTGTGCAAAGTCTACCTCGGTAGCGTATGTATGGATTTGAATTGTAGCAGGCGACGTCCAGAGGGCGGCCGCCGGACACTTGTGCGTCTGAAGTAAATTTGGTGCGCCGCCACGCGTGGGCTTGTCACCGTCTCGCCGGTGTCAATACTAATAAATATATAAAATAACGCGTTTGTTACCGGGATAACAGCAGTGACGGCGTTCTAGTTTGTCTATGCGTAGACGTCACTGTCTGGGAATCCGGCGCGCTGCACTGGACTCTCCCTGACCTACCTCCAGACATCGCATCCCCGCAAGTATCATAATTATAATGCATCTCACACTCCTTACAGGTTTACTTACTTACTTACTCCTTAGCGCCCAGTATTTTATATATATTTGATCAAAAATAATAAAATACTAGGTGTTTTATGTAAACACTTGGGCTCTTTACTTGTAGACAACTCGTGTAATGTGTAGAATTTGCATCGTCTTTCAAATATAATAAATATATTTGTTTTGTACTTCCTAATTTTGAAAACAATTGCCCTAAAATATCTTTCACGTAGTACCTAATTAGCGTGGACACATAATTACACGTTGTAACAGTATAACTCTTTTTTTCATATTGACAAAATTGAACAATAATTATTGTTCACGATTAAACCAACTTTACAGTATTTTTAAAATGCTGTAACATTTTGAAATCAATATTCGCATCAACTTCGTTACAATGGAATCTAAATCAGTCAATACAGTAGTTCTGTTCTTTAAATGCTCGTGTTTGTTGAATTTGAAGAGACACTATTAAAAGTAACTAGATTTCATTAATATCTATATTTAAAAACTTAATAATTAACTAGTGCCTGGTCTCATTTAATACCTGTGCAGCCATCCCTTTGCTTGTACCTTTTAATAGGCTCTTTTCCCAGCGGCTTTAAGGTTGTTGCGGATCTTATATAACCGTCTCACAGTATAATATTCACTAAATCTAAAACTAGACGATAATTTCTACTGAAGATTTTTAATACTTTATTTCATGAATAATTTCATTAAAATATATATGTATTAAAAACTATTTGTACAAATTAACATATTGAACTTGCAAAATAATTGTTCGGTATATTGATTTTACCCATAAAACATTCGCTCAAACTAATTACAGTCTAAGTTTAATGTAAAATGACACTTAAAAAATGTTTTTACTGGCATTACACGATATGACGCTACATAATAGCACTACGCCACAGGACAAGCTAGTATACTTACTAGTGCGTCATCTTTAATTTATTGTTAATCGGGATCGTAATAGTAAATACATAGTTCATATTTAGATAGTTCCCAATAGTTTTCAGTTCTTGTTATAATTTTAGATTTGTCAATCTACATATATTTCAATATAGTGAATTTTCCAAGCTAGATTGTACAAATTGTCTGCGTGGGTATTTCCGTCTCATTTACATATTCAAGCAGCTCGCTTTTTCAGCTGTGTTTCGATTCTGCGTAAAATATAGTAATGAAATTACAGCCTACTAGGCATGTCATCTTACTGCTCTGGAATGGCAATACTACGGACGTCACATGATTATGTGATAATCGTGAAGCTGTATGGTCGAAACATATTTAGTACACAACTATAAGACTGCCAGGTCTTTTCTTACCGAGCTTTCTTATCAATTGCAATTATACTGAAGGTTAAATGTTTGACATTCTAAACCACTAATTTGGATGGACAGTAGCATTCATGTGTGTGAAATTATTCCTATTTAGGCAGTGATGTCAGCCACAAATTTGGGTGCGAAACGTGTGTTCCATCGGGCTTCCCCAGGCAGCGTGATCGGAATACACATGCCATTATCTTAAACGTTAACATAACATGACTCTATTGGTTTGCTTCACCTTAAGACGGACAACATAAAAAATTGTGTAACCACATAATTCCTTGATGCTTTGTTTACTCACATTTTCCTAAATTCAAATACAAATTCAAAAATCATTTAATCATATAGGAAATTTTAGCCGCTTAGGAACGTCAAGTTTTTACATTATATTTTTTTTTTCTACCGTCCTAAAATATAATATCTTCATCCTTCCCCAGTTTTGGAATACTTAACTTTTTTGTACCCGATGACTTTTGTCTTTTGTATGTTCCCTTGACTATGAAAATGTACTTTTGATATCTACTACTACTAATCTGAAATATAAAAATAGTACCTAATAATTCAAAGATCTTTCAGAGTAACTTTTTCATAAAAGAAGTCGTCTGCTTGATCGTTTATGTGTAGTAGCTACTAGACTCGTATGTTGTATTCGTTCTAAGGGAGAAACTTAACAATCTCATACCTGGCGTCGTAGTAATAACACGAACATAACACATACTCCTTAATTGAGAAGTGTAGGTAATAACATAAGCATCACAATACTTATGTATTTTGATGATATTATAAAGTAACTATATCCTGTAGAAAAGAGAGACCATTCCTGTGTGCAACTGCAATTGCTATACCTCGGATGTGACAGTTTAAACGTTACATTAGAAGGAATCGATAGATATTCTTCTAATCAAAATGAAGGATTCGAACACTTCTACAAAATTGAACTATGTACCTGGATGTTTAAATAATATGTTGTTAAGTAGAATTCTAGTTTAATAGTCTGCTTGAGTGGAAGTGTTGGCCTGTTAGCTAACTACACGGAATCGTTTAAATGTAATGGTCGTAATTCGAGTTAGCGATTCCGGTCGGCCATCAATGGCCATTGTTTCTGTGAGGCTGGTGCGTGAGACGCAAGCGCCATCGGTCGGCCTTTCCGATATCGTAATTTTTTTAACTAGTTGATATTCAAATATAGTTCGCTCGTTATTTCTCAATGGCCGGTACAGTATGACGACAACACTTATAACGGACCATGGAAAGTACACAAGGTGACATTACAACAAATTATATAGAGGAATTAATTCAATAAAATAGCTTAATAAAATTAATATTCGTAATTATAACATTTTTATTATTTAGGTACTTCTGTCTCTTCTATTTTAGGTGTCAAGTAGCTTGCTTTGTAAGCTGCGTTTCTGTTGTAAGGCTGTTAGATTACAGGGTAGAGAGATATGACACCTAGTCCTGCGAAATAGTGCGTGTGTCTCTCGCGTTTTTCATCAAATTGTGAGATTCTGTCCCACAAAGTGATGAATGTTGCACTGTTCTGCCACTTCGCATTAGGGGGGTCGTCAGCTTGCTTGGTAGTAACTGGAATAGTTACAAAAGAACAAGGTCAAGGAAGTTAATTTTGATTTTTACCCTACTGTTCTAGTGTTTAGTTAGTGTAACTAGGGCAATTTTAAACACCATACAAAATGATTTTGCATGCGATTGGTAGATCTTGTTGTATTGTGAAGCTATATATACTTAAAAAAAGTCGTTAAAAGTTAGGTTCGTTTTACCAATTGCCTTTTACTTTTATGTTGTGTCATTGGCTAGAATTATTGCATTTTACGGCTGCAAACGTTTTGTACATTATTATTATATTTGAAAATTTCCCAATTTTATAATATATTGTAGCTATTTGTTGAAGGCGTTACTTCAATTAAAGTAAAACATTTTAAAATAATCTTTTTCCGTTGAAATTTACGCGTTCTTAGTTTACATGTTACTCGTGGCTGTAGCGGCATCGATGATACAACACGACTAGGAATTCAAAATATGTCGACATGTTAGCTAAAATAAAACAAACTATTTTTATTTTACGATTTGTCTAACACAAGTGATTACTAAAACGAAAATAGTATTTAGACGTCGACCCGATTAATTCGTAATACTTAATGTAAAATGAGGTATTAGACCCAAGAACTAAAAACGCTATTGATCAATTGATAATACAGACTGAATAGTGGTTATGTGGCTCTATACTCTCTCACTATCTCTACCTAAAAATGAATTGAAATACTGTTACTAGTATGAAACCAATCATTCTGTCAAACATATATTTTTATAAGACTTATGTAGTATTTTTAAACAAATTGTTAAAATACCATAAACGTCGCAGTATATACAGTGACACCCGTATATCTCTCATGCTTTACCATTCCTGAGAATTAGTGTTAAAGTGATAGGTCATGTGATTGCATATGATGTAGATGATGACAGTTGTATCTTCGAGTTGAAATAATCCCATGGGAACACAACCGACAGTAGAAATACTAGTGGTCGTTGTGTGTTTATATTTAACCATAATTAAACATTATAGCATCTATCTCACTAAATATGTTTTCTGGGTTCTTAAATATATTCGTGAAAAAATATAGGAGCATTAATAAAAACAACAATACATATGATAATTTATTGCAGGGTAATGCATGTAGTATAATAGTGATGTGCTTAATGTTCATATACTAAATTGTTATATTTGCGTCGTATATATTTCACGACCTTACTCATACTAGTCTCCGTTATATACAATAATATACCCAATACAATGAAATTTCTGCAAACATTATCAAAGGAAAGTCCTATGTTTATTTTTTAAACAATATCAAATCGTCATATTTAGAGCATTAATAAATATTTGTTATATATTTTTTTGTTACAAATATGATTTAGGCATATATATTTTACAATTGTCTATATTAGTTAATTACATTATGTTATAAGTATTACATTTTATATTGAGATCATTTATTCCTAATAAATGATCTCGATATAAAATGTAATACTTATAATTATCAATAAATGAAACATCATAACCCTATAAGTTATGCTCATTTACAAAGGCAACGAATATTAATGTGAAATAGCTACGTCTTAGAGAAAATTAGTAATATTTATGGTCCACTATTTTTTATTTTATAATTAAAAATAACTATTGAATAAAATTTGTATTATAATTTATATTATATTCCAGAAGTAGTTATGTAAAATGTTGCATTATGTGTGCAGTGGCAACGGCAAGTTAGCAACATGGGGCTGCATCATCGGATTCGTAGTAATGATGTGCTTGGACGTGGGCCTTGAGTGATCGCTGCCGATGATAGATGCAGACCAAACGACGACCACCACACGACTACCGGCAAATTTAGATATTAAGTATAGGGTAAACAATTTAGGGTATATACACCTGCCTATTCCATGCTATGTATCTAAACGTTCATACGAAAGCTTCAATTATTACACAGCGTCAATAATAAACGATATGAGCAAGTCGAATACAGTGATTGATATTCATGGAAGTGTAAATACTTTCCTCTAGAAGCAAAGTGGATAGCTGAATGATTTGAACCTCGGTAACATATAATTAATTTGATCTAATTTCATAATTTGTTTTCAGTGTCCTCTGGACTTCTTAAGTAGAAATTATTCAGCTTCATGAATACATTCGACTTGTTAACTTTTTACTAATCCTGTATATGAAACATGACCATATTTTCCTAAAATTGATGCTTCAAAAAATAGGTAGTGTGACAAATGTAATTTAATTACTTAATATTAACATTATAGTTTTCAAGTATAAGAATAAAAGTGACATTTCCGCGTATGTATCTTCTATAAATCTATATATTATATAATTACCAAATAAAGTAGTCAGCTATAATTATTACTATAATAAATAATATATATATATCAGTAAATGCTCGTAGTGAGAATTATGAAAATGGTGTATTACTTGTAAATATGTAGTTATAGCAATACTATTGATATTACACTGTAAGTGAAAAATGTTACTGTTAAATCCATTTGTACTGAATTATACCTAATGATAATGTTATATTTATATGTACTTATATAGATTCGAATGTATGCAAAGCTTATATTATAATAATATAATTGGAAAACGCTCAATTGGTGAATAAACAATCGCCGTTAGGGGTACAACAATATACATTAGCAGGCAATTATTATTGCAAACAGTTTTGTAATTCAGTATAGATTTTTGCAAGTTGTATAGTTCAATATTAAAAAAGATTTCTGTTTGTATTTCCCACATTAATAAAAAATTCCAATACAAAATTTGCATTGTGGAGGAATATAGAAAATAACTCGTACTCGCTAATTATTTCGTCACTGAACGGTTTCTAATGTTGGACAAATAACTAGGCATACAGTGCTCGACGAAATATTAGTTGTTCACACACTGCTAAATTTATTTATCTTTTCTATGCAGACTATATATTTATTTACTTACATCTTATATTTATTTATTCTAATGTAAATTAAGTATTTTAGATCCAAAATTGATGGATTTATTATAAATTATTAGTTCAATGTTGCTGTTTATTTTAATATAAAATTATATGAGTATTTACGTGAAACTTGCAATATAAAATATTCTCATTTTTGACGGACCATCTCATATAATTAGATAGTGTTGCGAATCCAATGCATAAGAACCGCGAGTACAATTTACAAATTATAATATGTGCCATGGATGTATCAATATTTTAGGTTAAATTCCAAATATTAAAAAATATAGAAGTATAAAGTATTAGAAATAAATACTTATATATAAATTTATTTCTAATACTTTTTACGCAACTCCCAGATATATTGGATAATGATATTCATGTATATAATTATAAATCATTTCACATAACGAAGTCCCGGTTATTATGCGACTAGTAATATTTGTTATTCCACCAAGTAACTGCTATGACTTATATTATGTAAAAGTTTTTATGTAAAAATTTTCCTATAGTTTTATATAATGTGATAATAGATTGTAATGTTGTATTGAAGTATTTTCCAACATGAAGTTATTAGCTAAGTAGATACTACCCACAGAATAACATCCTAAGAAGGAATTAATGTCAATTTTAATCTTATAATAATTTATAATTCATCATATTGTATATTTACAGGCCTAACTGCATACCTAGTTCAATTGTACTTATATTTAGAGAAATTAAATATTGTAATTAGTTTAATTTAAATGCAATTTTCATTGAAAGACTATAGTCATATATATATAGCACTCTGATTATGACTATTCTATATATAATTTCTACAGTTCTTCAGTCTATTATATAATTTATTACAGTTCGATAAGTTTCTTTTTTAAATATAGTATATATAATGCCATTCGGGATTTTTATTTACTGCATATAAATTTCGCTACTAAATTTTGCTTGAAATAAAGTACAGCTTATATAATGCTATGCTAAAACAGAATTATTACGTAATTTTAGCAAACATATTTTAACAAAATGCCTTTCAAAACTTTTTCGTGTACTTAAAAAGACTTGAATTATTATAATAGTACTATAAGATCTACAGGGAGTGAACTCTATGGTTTGCAAAAAAACATAATTGAATCATATTTGGTGAAGATCTTGTATATATGAATAAAGCAAATATAGTTTTACAAAAAGAATTAACTTACTACTTCACAATGGTAATATACAAAAATTATATTGGACCAACATGGACGAAAATTTATTGACTAGTAATAGTTCATACAAATAAATTCAAAACTAGGTAAGTATACGTATAATTGCGTGAGTGCCTATGTAGGAACTTAGACGTGTCTGACCTAAGGAGCCTAGCAGTTTCTATAGTACATTATTACTACGAATATTGTGTTTCTACATAAATTGTGAAATCCAATACATTTACTATACTCTTGAGGGACTATTCTCCTTTGTTCGTGGGGATCTCTATGCTGTAAAAATTCTATCATACATTATTAACGGTATTACATCTGCCGGTTGCAACTAGGTAATCGAGTACGTCGTAGTACGATACGTACGTAGCCGTACATACGGTAAGTATAGGGTGCTTACTTAAGAACGCGTGTGTAATTCGTTTTATTGAAATGACTTATAAAATATACACGATATATTTGTATAAAATAAATTACAAAAAGTAGTAGAGCAAATTAATTAAATTTCTGGATTAATAACTTGTTAAAACAATTCTCTATTAATACTAATTCATATGATAATTGTCGACTATGGAACACTATAATCAGACTGATATGATTTAGAGCGTTTTACGTTTTTCTGGCTAAAGCCCTTAACGAATAGGGTTCATTACAATTTAAATTGCATCCATCAGCCAAAGGGCGTGCGGCGCTTCGCGGACGTTGACCCAAAATGCAGTGCGCCCGCGCACCCTAACAGCCGAATTCTTGCGCGTACGCAGCTCTGCTCCGAGTTGCGCCGCCGCGCCGCGCCCCCGCAACACCGCTTCTCCGCCATCCATAAAGCTCTCAATGTCATCTGAAGCACGCCTATCTACATGTGACTCGGCGGTAACTCTGGGCACGTGCTCCCACTCTTGACACATTTGTATTATTTGTTTGTCCACGAGTACTCTGCTGTATTCTCTAATTGGTAATGAAATTGTTTATTATGAGAATAAGTACCGTCGAATCTGCTACCTAAAATTTAAAACCGTTCAATCAAAAAGCATGGATATTGGATTCAAAGTTGGCAAAAATTGGATTAATTTTATTCCTCTTTCTTTTCCAACATCTTAAAATTATAGATGTTATCATCACGATGAATCTTCCTGTGGTCCAGTGATAGCCATAGGCCTTGTGTAAATGATGTCACCGAGTTTGATTCTAAATTTCTATATTCTAACTTTTAAGTCCGGTATAAATGCTCTCATACCTGGGTGGTCTAAGAGGTTAGTTTCTCATAACATAGTGTGACAATTATAAACACTGCGTCCTGTGAACGTCATACTTTTTTGTGTAAGTATTTATCGTAAACATTACGCATAAATGATAAGACAATGTTTAAACAATAAAATTACACCCTATAATTATGTTTTGTTTTTAATAATAACAATAATAACCCTAGACAATACACACAACTGTATCTGGTCTCAAGCTAAGCAGAACTTTTATTATGGGTTACATATAACTAATATATATACTTAAATATTTTTTGAAAAACATAATATACATAGAAAATACCCGAATCAAAATAAACAATCATACTCGTGAATACAAATGTTTGCACCGTGCGATCCGAACTCGCGACGATCGGAAAGTAAGCCGGTGTGCTAAACCGCTAGACTAACGAGGCCGTTTAAACGAAGTAATAAATGATGATAGAATTGAAAGTCTTGTACGTGTAAAAAATAAACAATTGTTATTCTGTGTGTTCTGAACAGTGCTACAGTGGCGACGGACGGCGGTACTGGGTGGTGTAGCGAGTTCAGTAGCATCCAGGGTAGTTGCGACCCACGCATCCAATGGTGTTATGCGAAACACCGGCAGCCCTATTTCCATTCATTGGTGTTTGTTGATAAAGTATCGGACGGTGGCGCGGTCAGAGGGCGCGGCGCCGGTGGGGTGCCCCTTGCGCTGCAGTAGGCCGCGTGCGCCCGCGCCCCTCGCACGCTGCACGCTGCACCGCCACTCGGCCCCGATGCACACGCGCACACTCACACGACGTCGCCACCGTCGTTGATCACTACCTTTGTACTCCACGACCGATGGGTTATTACACCATTGTTTACGTCTCCTCGCCTGCGCACAAACACGTAAGTTATGCATGTCCCGTGTGCGTAAATGCATTTCACAATGCGCTCGATTCGATTCGCGCCTCGTTTGTTTATTTACAGTCACCACCGCGCCGTTTTACGTCGTAACTGGTAAACTATCTTTGATATTCGTTTCCGTACATCGTAATGGAATCATTACATATCGCATCGCCGGAGACAGTGGCCAATTGAAATATTGTTTTATTTGTCCGTTATAATTCGTTTCGTGCATTTATTTATGGCTGTATACTGATGCGCACGTGGTGGTCACACGGTTTGTGCGATTTTCAAGTTTATGCAGTTGTAATGAGAGTTGAATGTTTGGTGCAAGTGAGTCACTTAGCCACCGTTGCGCCGCGTCGTACGGGTTGGGTTGGAGCATTGTCGGTGGCGAGATACGGCGGCGTCGGAAGTGACTGCGGAGTGCGGTGCAGTCACGCGGTGTTGCGGCGTGCCGGACGCCTGGTGTTCTAGTAAACACCTGCCTGTTATGCCGTGTTTGCACCGCCGACACATCACACTGTCAAGTTCCAAATTAGGGGCTTGTGCAAATGCAACTTTTGTACTAAATAATATGGCATGCCCTTATAAAGTATTACATCACTAACTCTAACCTTTTCCTTTCCATATGAATAATTTTATTATTATAATTTACATAACCATTGTTGAATCAATTACTTATTTTATTGCCTACTATAAAGTAGCGGTCTATCAATCTTATAGTGGTTATTGAATAATGATGTATGATCGTCACACGGCCCATTTACGGTGACATAGGCTTGATATATCGTGATATCATTTTTAGTTCAATTATGTAGTTAATTTGTAATGTTCTAATATTATATATACTCCTATAATAACTGATTTATTATATTCGAACAAAACGGATTATTCTTTTTAATAAAATGTGGAAATCAATTCCAATCAAAAAGTGAGAATTTATATTTATAATATAAATAAATAAAAATGCAACTGTTCGCTGTGTGTAAAATATGTTAGAAAAACTGAGTGGTACAATAACTATCTATTAGAATTTTTGTCTGTCTCCCTGTGAGTGTGAATTTGGGTGCGGTTTTCACTAATGTATTGTGGTAAGCTACACTTTTTATGTAGTGGTTCTAAGTGGTTCGAAACAAAATAGTTATACATAAGTATGTTATCTAACAAACCCCTGCACGGTATAGTTAGAGACATTGTGTAGATAATGACCGAACCATTACGGCAGACTCACCCTTGATTCACAATTCTATATAAGCTTTAACAAACGTAACGAGGGGCCAAATTTACCACTACCTCGGATAAGTAAGTGGTAAGAGTGTTTTGTTAGCGTTAATATCTATAGTAATAATATTTCTCTAGTCTTATGAGAGTTAGGATATGGAGTCACTATATTAAGAGTAAGAATAAGATCGTATATCTTTGCTATTAACTTCAACTCATTACTAAGTTCCTAAATGAAGAATACGTTTTTGGGCGACAGTAAATTCTAGTGTATACTTTGAACCATATTATCGAATATTAGAGTGAATGAATGTAAAAATAGATGTCGATTACATTTTTGATTGAATTAATTAAAAAATCGGCAGGCAATTCGGTCACTATTGGCATTTAATTTAACAATTAAATCATGGGTAGGTTTACATCACTTATTAATATACATTTGTGACATAACGGACTTTGTTATGTGTTGTATAAAAGCCTCACAGTTTCCCTATCAAAAGACATCAACGCATTTTTAACCCTTAACCATCGTTCATAGTAGAATAGTAGTAGGTATTCCTTCGCAGAACCTAATGTGTTGTATTATTATGGTGGTATAACTATCAGATTTTTTATGTAATGTGAATGGGAAATAAACTTACGACGATACTGATCGTAAGCGATAACCATCGCCTATATACATGAACAACATCACATCATGTTATCATGTAACACTCGTGATACCACTCCTGCGTTACTATTATACAGGAGTGGTTCCTGCGTTACTATTTCAGATGACTAAAAATCTTAACACATTTGTGTTATCTTGTAATTTCATTACCCAATTTGACCCTACAACCAACACTCATCTCAGAAATAGGTGTGACTGAGGTACAGACGACTTACAATCTACTTCAAGCTTAGCTAATAAATAATGTGTGGGTTAGCATTTTTAATA